TATAACTTCAGATCATCTACGAATACATATCAGATCATTAAATAGTCAGCGACAGCGTTTATTAAAAAGGAAGAAGTCGGGGAAGGCAGCTCAAACTTAATTATAATATATTACGGCCTAGTGTGACTGATTATTGCATGATTATGATATGAAATTCGAAATAACGAACTATGTGTTATTGAAGCCTCCCAATCAATGTTTCACTTCAATTCCTGCAATAATTCTGCCATAAAATTGAGGAATAAATTTCTCGTAAACATGAAATGCCTTGAATGTCAATTGGGATAATCACAAATACTCGAAAAACAGTCCATGAGAAGGCGTATCGTTATTTGAAATCTCTTTGAGGTTCCCAGGCTTTGACTCCCGGGGGAAATTGAAATATTTTATAACGGTCAGCCATCGAAATGACGACTCTAGTGTACAATGTTACAGTTCAACGTACGTACAGTTTACGAGCCCCTCGCGAATACTAAAACAACCCCTTTTAACTCCATGAACTATAAAACTGAAGATCAGTTTAAAACACCCGTGCTTCGAAAACCTCGCATTAAAGCAATTGGAACAAACAATTCTACACATCACATTAATTCATATACTATGTTTTCAACATTTTCTTATAAATGTCCATTAAATGTCATGCAATATTTATAAGACTAACTTAAAGCAAGGAGGAAGTATGTACACAAACTAAACAGAAGCATTTACGAGCCACTTGGTCCCAAAGTTGACCAAGGGAATCTTGGCAAGAAAATGCCCAGTTAAATATTTGTGAGACTGGTCGCATCACCTAATATATAAACTCATGGGTCCCAGACGTTGTTTTATCAACCTAGATAGGAACTAGAATATAATCACTTTGAACATGTACATACCTGGATAGTTTATTGCTAATCGACATGTGCAAATCTTCACTGTGCTGTGTTTTGTCGATATTTGCCTACGGACGCCAAAGCAATACTTCGAGTTCGGAAAACGAAGAACTGCGATGGCCTTTACAATTGCGTACAATGTTACCGATATGTTGAGGTGGAAAACAGCTAACAAGAATATTCAACAGTTAAATAGCCAGCTCGATGTTGTATTAATGGTGTCGATTAACTCTACTGTATGATTTCAGCTGCGAATTTCCGTACGTGAGAACAAATCGCGGAATATTGTTGACTTAGCATAAAATAACGCCTTGTTCCTTTTTGACAATTCTATATTGTGTCCGTAATTCTGCACGTGGCTTGGATACATATACAACTGCGATGAGGGACTTCCGTGTGCAGAAAACTACGGTCCTTTCAGGAAATGCACTGTATGTCACAGCCTGTGCCTATTGCAAACGAGTGACTTCACAGTATGGTAGTATAGTCATTTCCGGGTAGTATAATCACGTATTGGCTGTATGATTGATGCCTCTGAATAACGTACTCATCAGCAACACATGCAACGCAATGAATGGAATGATGCGAATACATCGTAATGGAGATGCATTCATCGAAGGCCAGTCGGAAAGCGCGGCGGCTGATTGGTTCATTGAATAGCGTCGATTGGAAAAAGAAGGCGTACAGCGAAATGGCACTGTGAGGCAAATTATACAGTGAAATCAGGTAGAAGGGGTGCAAGAAAGCCCCATAATGAAGGCGGCATCTACTAATTGCCCAGCAAGGTGGATGGATAGTATATATCGATATATTCACTATTTATTTGACGAGCAAAGTGCGTGTTGAAACATTCAGAATGAAAGCGCAATCACAAATTCTCTGTATCTGTTTTAATATTTAAAGAGAGAGACTATCTAAAAAACATACTGTCATGGTTAATTTATTTTTTGTAATCACTAGCCAATACACGGTTTTTTTATTTTTTTTATTTTCATTTTTTTTAGTTTAGTTTAGGTCCCCCTACTCGGTGAGTTTGTACACGTATAATTACACCGGCTGCCTGGACGGATATAATTGCCAATCCTACAGGGTAGCATTGTTAGCGGACAGGATGTTGTAAATCCAACAAGGATGCTCGGACAATCGAGAGGAAAACTATATAATTCACTTAGTTATTAATAGACAATTGTCATGTGCATAAATAATGCAATAATGCACGATATTTGCAAATTTGTTTTTAATTTGCATAAAATAAAAGTAAAATGAGAAGGTAAAATTTATATTCATACTTGAAACAGTCCTTGGTGAAGAGTATAGGTAATTGCTCCTACAAATTTCTCTTGTTCTGATCTTACAATGTGTTATTCTTACTAACAAATGTACACCAATAACACTCGTGTATTTGTTAAGCATTGATTAGAAAGCATTTTGTGAATACCTAAACAATGTCCGCCATTGAAGTCATATAGACGCTACTGCAAAAGCTCTGAACGCTAATTCCAAATGTTCAATCAGCTAACTTCGATTTGTCATGATATTGGTAAATGTTATTACGAGATAAGTAAAAGTTCTTTGATGTGCCAGTCTAAACATATATATTTATATTGCTGCAATGTGTCAATCTTCGGGGAAAATATTTTTACGTATTGGTGTTTTTGAACGGCGTGTTTCTTGTTGTTGCTGTTTTTATACAGAAAACGTGAACAAATCCACTAAAACGATAGATTTGGTGATTATGAATAATTAATAGTAATACCGAGTTAAACAAAAAATGTTGTTTCAACAAATTGATCCGCAACTTGTAATACATAACACTGAAATTATGTTTTAAATTAGTTCAATGGTGTTTTTTGTCAATGTTACTCAAGATGGCCGACGTTGTGATGTGGTTTTCATACGATATAGTGGTCATCTGAATATCTGCTGATAGGACCAACATTCATTGCTACGGCAACCAATGACCAGAAGTGTATGAATGGCAATACTCAGTTTGATATAAACCATTTCATCATAATTAACTTTATTCAAAACAATATCTAGGAACGACTCGTGCATTTCATTATAAATATATGCTTGACGAGTTACATCAGAGTTTAAAACGTGTAACCTGCCCTAGTAGCTGAGATTTAACTGAAACAATTAACGTAAATATAAGTCTATTTAGGCAAAACGAATAGATGGCTACGTGAGGCGAGATTTAAATTTACTCCTGGCGAAGCATCCCTGTATATATATAGTTTTGCATTTGTTCTTCACTGCGTTAAAATTTTAGAACTTCAGCAAATTTCGCAGTCAATAAGATTTATTCCGTCCTAAAGTATGGATATATTTCCTAAAATGGAATATGTATATACCCCGACAGTTTCAAGTAATAATATAAATAATATTCGTGGTGGTTCCGAATTCCTACCCAATCACGTTAAACATTTCGAAATCATAGGTTTCTTAATGTGGTTCCGAGACGACATCAGTTAGTACAAATAAAGCAATAAACTATAACTTTCATTTTTGAAGGATTTCTGTAAAATACAAGTAAGCTGAGTCCAATAGCATTGTTACTTAGTAATTGGATCTTGGTCTCGGGTGACTACAAACACTGGTGCTACGATGATGATGTATTAAGTATCGTCATTTCACATTATTTCTTTTAGATTGAACATGGTGTTTTCTTATAATGCAAGTCGAACTCGTTGAATTGTTTAATCTGTCCCTTCCCATGTGTGACTAATTGAGAATACTGTGACAAGGACCACGTTATTAGGGCATGTCATTTAGTTCCATAATTAGTTACCCAGGTAATTAGTTAAACTATATTTTGGGTAATGTCGGTGAGCTTTTAACAAAGTTCCTTTTCCCAAGATTTCAAGGGGTTTGCTTGATATCTTTAAAACGACTTGTTACTCTCGCGATAATGATGCAAATGTATTCATTAATTTGCATAAATCAAAGATGGCGAAACATGTGCAATTATTATGAAATAATCACGAAGCCCCTGATGATTACATTAGTTCTGATTAATTTGATTCGGTTAATTTTTAATGAGTAGAAGGCATGGTACGAAAATAGAACCGACGTTATTAGTTCACGCGTGAGTTGAGCGGGATTCAAGATGCCAAACGAAACAGACTGCAAAACAGTTAACCATATTTTCCAGACATGTGTCTTATTATATGGTGCAGAAATTGGGGGAATGGAAATCTTAGATAACAATAAATGGGTTAAAACTTCAATAGAAAAAGTTCATCTAAAATTTTGCAAACAACTATTGAATCTAAACAAATTTTCCACGAATATTGCATGTAAAGCAGAGCTGGAAGAATTCCCATTACTTATTAATATTTAAATAAATCTAATTTAGAACAAATCTGTAATCGGAGACAATTTAACACAGGATTCAAAACAAATTACGAATGTGATAAAAAGGATTACATTGTATTCTGGAAAGAATGTCTTAAGAAAAAAAAGCTTGAAACATATGTAATGTTTAAATATACCTATACTTATGAACCATATTTATCTGTACTTCCCCTCAAATAAAGAGTCACTTTTTTGTAAATTTAGAACCAGTAACCATAACCTATAGAAACTGGTAGACACTCAACCCAAAACTCCAATTGAAAATATAACTTGCATAAACTGTTCTCATAATAAAGCTGAAGATGAATTCAATTTCTCCATGGATTGGCATTTCTACAGCAATTACCGAGACGAAATGTAAAAAAATGTTGACCCCCCCCCCCTAAGGAAATAGATAATAAACAAACACATTTATATTTCTGATGATTATTCTGATGATTATTCTGATTATTATTACCTTGAAGGACATTTCAGGTGGATCATGGTAGGAAGAGGAGGTCCATATTAGATTTTGGGTGGTGCATTATTTCTATAGTAAGGAATTTGCGTGTTTTGGTATCTAACTTCATCTCACTTAGTTTCTAGTTAATAATGTTAAAGCTGTAAGTTACAACTGGTATGGCTATTCTTTCCCGACTTTTTCTTTCACGGCGGAGTGTCTCCTTCATTGATTCGTAGATACTTGTAGGTTCACTCATATTCTCTTTGATTGTTGTGTCAGTGTCAATAGTTATGTTGGGTCAATCTCCCTTGATTTCATCACTGAAAGTCTTAACTATGTGTAGAAGTTTGTTGATTGCCTCCTTGAAATATTCCGCTTTTGATGTTTACTGAACTGATGTTTACTGAACGTGATTCCAGTGACCCTTCAGCATGATTCAAGTGTGAGGTGGTTTTCCAAGTCGTCATGCTCTCAGAGATGAACTTTGTGATGGTAAGGTATATTCTGTACATTCCAAGTGTCTTAGTGATCCAGCTATGGGGCAGGCTGTCAAATGTTTTTGTAGTCAATCCATGCTGTTGATAGGTTCTTTCTTTTTCTTTTTGCATCCTCCAAGACCATTTTGTTGATGAGGAGTTGGTCCTTGTAACTATTGCTATCTTTTCTACATCTTTTCTGCTTTCTGCTTCAGTTGGGTCTGGCGAAGATACGCATAAGTTCTTTCTGTTATTAATGATGTTAATATGTTGTACATAGTTGGAAGGCAAGTGATGGGTCTGTAGTTTTGGGGGTTCTTTGTTTCCTCTGTTTTTGGAAGTAGATATGTTGTTCCTTCTGTTAACCATTCAGGGCATTTTTCTGTTTTTTTCACTGCGTCTGAGTAGGCTTTACTCATGTGTGTAGATAGATGTTTGGTTTTTATCCAAAAGTTGTCTATGCCATCCATTCCTGGTGCCTCCCAGTTGTGGTTCTCTTTATGTCTCAGTGGTCTCTTCGATGTTGATTTCAGACCATTTTTGATGTTCTAGGTTTATGTTCTCGTGTTCTTGTTTCCTAATCCACAAGGCGCAAACATTGTACTGCTTTTACTTGTCCCAAATTTCTCAACCGCTTGTATTCAATGTGGCTCATTTACAATAATTTTCTCTCTTCTTAGCTCTCTGTAGAGTTTTTAGGGTCTTCTTTAAAGATCTTATTCTGTCTAAAAAAATTGCTTCTCTTTCAGAATTTTGCCTGGATTTGTTGTTTCATGACCCTTGGTATGTCATCTGCAGTTTTGATGTTTAGTTTCTACTCTAATTGTTTTCTCTTCTTTTTTTTACATGGTACCTTTTACTATTTCACATCATATGGATAGGTCATTTCGTTTTTGTTTTATCTCGTTCTCAATCTTTGTTTTCCAAGTTGGCTTTTTCAGTTTAGTTTTTCTTTCTTTGTTTGGGTTTTTGGCCTAGTTGTTCTATGATGGATTGTGCAGCTGCATATATTAGCTGGTTTATCTCCGTAAGACAAAGCTGCTTTTTGACCTCTGTAAGTGCTATATTTGCTGTTTTGATAGCGGGGTGGTCTTGTTTATCATTGGGAGTGCCATTCTATATTTTATTGGCTGCTCTTTAGTTGTTTCCCATATTTGAAATATTCTTGTTCGCATCATTTCAGTGCTACTATCTTCTTGCTCACCCTGCTGTTCTCGAGTAGCATCAATCTCAGGTGATTCGACCTCACCTTCAGGTTCTTGGTTTTTTTGTTGCTCTAACTCACTCGTGTTGTTTTCTGGGGACTTTTCCCTGATTCTATCTCTAATGTTTCCGAGCTCGGTGTCAGTGAGCCTTTTATTCTTGATGATATCTCCTTTTATATTAGCCAGTTTATTGGCATCCAGGTACATCCTTGTTGTGTTTTTGTCTCTTGCCAGATGTTGTATGTTTCTCTGGTGGTGGTATGTTGAGATGGTGATGAGGCGGCGGTGTAATAAGCCTCCACACTTTACGCCTTCCGCCTGGTTCTCTACTGATAGGCGTGATTTACTTCTTGATTCAAACCCTTGTGGCAGCCATGTTTGTTTTTATTATTAGCGGACGCATACGCGCGTAATCTCTTCATATTTGGAATTTGCATTTCCTAATATGGTAGGATGAAAATACCCTGTAAAATACCGCAACATTATAGCACGCTGTAACTTATGGCGTTACGGTGACTGATATATAATAATGTGCTATACACATATGATGAAGTAAGGGTAACTCCACGCAATATTCCCCTCTCAAGGATGGCCATTACGCCATTGAGCTATGAATGCAAAATCAAATTGTTCTATCTATGTGACAGATGTTCGGTCAGCGCATTTCACGCAGTATGCGAGATCTCAAGGCATACGGAACGGCGCCAATTGACCTTCAAACTCTTAGGGTATATAGTTATGTTCCATATTCTTCTATATGTATCCGGAAGCAGAAATGGTAATAATTATGCAAATAATCAGCTGGCTACATTAAAAAGAATTGAAAAATTATTGTGTGTTACATAGCTATAATCCAATATGAGTAGTCTACTATAATATACATATTGTCATTATTATACGGAGATGTGAAACTTTATTTGCATAAATACAAGTAAGTTGGACACCGTCGAGGAATAGACAGTTACCACATTTACCAAATCGTAAACATTTAGGTCCCTGAATATGATTGTGTCAGTCAGGTATCAGATGAGGAAAAGGATGAGTGGAGGGTGGGTAAGTGGCAAGTCTTGTTTTTATAGAACCAATGATTTTATAGTGTGGACGATAGCAAGTTCAGAGAGGTTTGAAATCAAGGCATGTTAAAGTCTCCTTAGTCTAGTTTTGTTCATGTCGTCTTTCTTTAAATGAGTGTGCTCGAAATTTATTCATCACTGAGTCCAATCCATTAGGAAACTCTATTCTTAAAGAGGCGCGTTGTAAAAGGATTGTGTCAGATGTCAATCAGACTATCTCAGCGGGGAGAGTAAAAACAAGTATTACAATTTCAAATTTCATTGAAACATTCTTGCTCATACTCAAGTAATTTTGCCAATAATCTCATGCCAATAAGTGAGATACATCCCAGTTAGCGTGAATTCAAAATGACGTACGTCAAATATAGCAATATTTTTTTTATGCATTACATACTAATAGGGTCGTCTTATGTGACAGTAATTCACAGTTATATTGGATTGCGCACAGTACGTAGGATATTCATTTTTATGGGACTTCTTCATTTGAATAATTCAAGATAGTCATCATTATCACGCCTCTTTAAAGTTGTATTCCAATTATGTATGATCTCCGTAAAAAATCCTACTGACCCTTGTGAACATCCTATCTAACAAAATACTTTCTTAATTAAATTAAGTGATTAGAACAATGAAAATGAAGTTCGATTTGGTGATTGGACATACTATCTCAGTGCTCCAATATTTCAGGATTTGTTGCCATACCAACTGATTTTATCATTGCTCATGGTGATCGCAATAATCAAGGGGTCTACATATAGACGCAACTTTAATCTTTATTTTTTGACGCTCAAGTTGATGTGCGCTAGATTGCGAATACGTGGCAGATATGTTTGATTGAGGGTGGCAAAATGATGGGCATTTGCATCTTGTTATTGCAAGAAAGGTCAATGATAAATCGTGGCAACAGTGTTGAACTATCGACTAGACTTGCATGCCGCCTCTTGAAAAAACGAGATTGTATGCAAGTATAACGATCGACATAAGCCAGACCGATATTTTACAACTCCAAAATTAGCCAAATTCAAACATAAAAAAATATTACAAACTAAGATCAACCTGTTTTGGTGAGATAGTAAAAGTAAAATCATTCTATTATTTGGTTGGATGTATATAAATATGCGCCAGTTCAAAAGGTTATTATTTAGCAAAAAACAATTTGACTAGACTAAACATAATGCATGTCAAATACTAGTACTTAGTTTTGATCAACTATTCACCAAGTAGATATAAATCTACATTTTTAAATATTACGATCGGGCCAAAAATATTATTTTATTTCAATTAATATGCTATGACACGATTGTGATTCATGTGAAGTCTGGTCAGTTGAGGCATTGTGTATTGTGCTAATTCATTACCTACTGTATTCCATGTAGTAAATAAGATCGTTATACAGTTAAATGTAAGCCTGATTACATCGGTTTCCGGTGATGGCGATTTAATGGGTTTAACGCATTGGATATCATGAACGAAGACTAATAAGTCAATGCCTTGGGGTTATCCTTAGATTGGTCTGAACAACAGTACACGTAAAGTGATTACCATGGTTGACATGTTATGTAGAAAACGTGTTCTTATTGTCTTTCGCTATATTTAAATTGACTGATATAAATGAGGTTGAACAAATTCAAATCCCAAACGGATTTTTCTTAATATTAATAATATAGTATGATTTATGTTGTATCTACCACCTCATAAATCTTGATCTAGAATATCATCATCATCACTCCCGGGGCTTCCAAAAGCAATTCAACCCTGACGTTATGCTTGATGTGATCGTTGCAGATACTTTTGTACATAGGTGTGTATCAGAAACACCCCGGGAAAGTTTGGATTTACAGATAAAAAAACACTGTTTTGGGCAGTGTCTGGTAAATTGCATTTATCGAAACATTTATCTCAGTTCTAGCCAAGGTTTAAGGTCATATTTACAATAGTGGTTTACATTGTATGCCACAGTTATGTAGCAAAGAAAATGGCGGTTTCCAAAATATGCCATAGTTATCTGTAGCAATTACACTCTGCATAGGAATACAAATGTAACAGATTTACAATTAGCAAAGAGGATTTACGAAAATGTTGGGTTACATGACCAAAAGTGGTATAAGAAATATAACCATGTATGGACTAAAGCATATTGTAACAATTAAACACTTAATATAATATAATAGAAAAACATCAGTCCCAAATATCTAGTGACAAATACATATGGCTTTGTTAATAACATATCAGCCATAACCCTAATTGATTTATTAAAGAGTTTTCTTTAATGGCATCACTTATTGTCTTGTGGTGTCTCTTGCTTGTTTACCCATGTTTTTTAGTGTACTTGTCAGTTGTTTTCTATTGTGTAGACTGTTTGTCAGTTGTTCGTATGATTTGATTCGTTTTAATAACTAATAAGTTAGGTCTGATTTTACCAATGATTTTAGCGGTGCCAGACATCCTGCACTACTCCACAAAGATGACATTGTGGTTGGTATTATTAATGGCAGTTTACATAACACGTTTCACGACGTTACCACTACTCGTCGTGATCTACATTTACACGTTTTTTTTTATTAATTGTTAAGCCTAGAGACCCGTGATCCTTCCCCGAAACTGGATTAAATTGCTTAAATATCTAACTAAATCGCGATTTTACGACTGTGAACACTGTGATTGCAGGCGTATGATCAACTGATCAAATCAGGGTATAATTAATCAGGTATAAGTACTAATACGAATTAGAAATGGTTATATATTGCGCAAATCGTGACTCTTCGTCACCCCTTACAATAGTAGTATAATCCATTTATTAATTAATTAATTAATATATTTATTTATCTATTGTACAAGCAGTTCTACGTGCTATCGTTAAACACAAGTTTTATTTAACGTGGCTCTTATACATTTTAAAACATGGGAGGGAAGTCCCGGTGAAAATGAAAACATTGGTTACTGGACAAGAAATGAACAATGACAATTTCAAACAATCCCGCTAGGCCAGTGCGATTGTTGTTCGTCACATGAGACCTCGTGTCGTGCCGGACGTGAGTGCGAACCGTAACTCACTTTATTGTATCCTGCGACATATCTTGGAAGCAATTAA